CATCGAAGATTTATTTAATAATGGTAGAACTTAAGCAAAAAATGATTCGTGTATTACAAACAAGAACTTGAGAATTACCATCATTTGTGAAAATCAAAAATTTTATTGTTCAAATGAAAAAACCAAATTCGGTTCATATATTGCAAGTTTAGATGAGTTAGAACAATCTTGTGAGCAGAAAGTTAATATTCCAACTGATGAAAATAAACACTTTGTTGTTTGGTGTGAGATAATGTACAGTAATGAAAAAAGTGGAAATATATTTCGTGTATTTTTATCATCAATACGCTTGTTCAACATTGCATCAGTATCATCGCATACGTACCTGTTGATGTAACATATAAATTAATTTGATGATGTGGGTTTTCCAGTACTTATAACTGGAACAACTGATTTAAAGAAGGCTTTTCATCCATGTGATTCAGCTATATGTTCAAATAAAAAAAAAGAAAGACTTCGAATTCATTTTTAATAGTATAAAAATTGGTTTAGAAAAAAATTCAGAAATATTTACTTAAAACAATAGCATTAATTTCCTATGCTGTCAATTCGATTAAAAGTGTTTTTATGAATGCATTTAAAGATGAATAGAATCAAATGATGTGGTGGTCACAGATCAAAAGTAATGTTCAAAATGTTTCACTTCATATCGATGATAAAGTTGTTGCTGATGAAATTATGAATGATATTGAAATCCTTCAATTATCTAATTCATGCACTGTATTTGAATTAGCATTAAGATTATTCACGAAAAAGTGGAAAAAACAGCAGACAAAAAATAAACAATCATAGGTTTTTTTAATTATTTTGATAATGAATGTGTCAAATCAAATGGTGGTTGGTATAAGGTCATTCAGCGCTATATCTCGTCCACCAAAAATGCCCTATAGACAACCCATGTCGCTCATTTTTCATCGAAACAGTCGGTTACCGCCGGTTTAATACAGCTTCTCTTCGTTTAGCATTTTTTAAATAGTTTTCTTCTAAATTAATCTTTTTAGTCTATAAATAGTGGATTTCAACTCAGTAAAGATCGAAATAATTATTCCACAGTGCATTCTCTGATATGCCTCAATTAGTTTTCCTATTGGTTAAGTCATTAATAAACAAGTATTTTTGATAGCGCCACCTTTAATTAATGGTAAACTCAAAAACTAGATAATTATAGTAAATGTGGCTAATATCTATGGCTTCAGCGCGTTCACAATTATAAGAGGGTAGCGATTTTGACATTTGTGTAAGAGTTTAAAAACATTCACCCTTTCTGACAAAGAAAAAAATTTAGCTGGAAAACCGGCGGTAACCGTTCGGTTAAGCGCCCAGTTTACCAGATGGTTAGCTGCGATTAACCGCCGGTTTTCGAGCGGTTTGAGCGACATGGGAACCAATAAAGTAGTAAAAGACGATGATACATTTAGAGAACATCATGTTTTATCAAGACTTTTTGTAATAGCTTCAAAAATAATTAATAATTGGTCAACTGAACGTGATCTATCTTCAACAAATGGAAAACGTTTTACTGTAGAATCAACAATATGTTTGAATTTATGGACTTCATGTTATCAATAGGCAAAAGCAACAAAAGATGTTATCTATCTTCAAAATGATGTTTCAAAAAACGATTGCATATCAGCGCCTAATTTAGAATCTATTTCACAAGTTGATTTAAATAAATATGTCAACAGAAAATGGACTATATTCAACCAGTGCAAAAACTCTTTTGATATTCGGTGCTTGAAAATTAAGAACGATTCAGATTAGGAAACATTACGATGCACCTGTCCAAATTTTCTTAAAATTTATTTATGTAAGCATATCGTTGGGATGAAGATTCGCTTAAAACTTTGTAAATCACCACTGGAAGTAAAGAACATGTCGCTCGGCGAACAAAGTAAGAGAAGTTGACCAGTAAAACCAAAATGTGCTTTACGACTGCAATAATTTATTTCCAATTTTTCCCATTTCAATATTTTTTCTGCAGTTCTATAGTATATTTTATTGATAATTTTCCTCTTTTCTTCTGGTAAAATCTGTCTTATTTACCTATCAAGTTTAATTTTTTTAATGGTACAAATGATATTTTTTTATTGCTATTCTATATAATAAACTGATCAATTTCTGATTATTTACTGCTAATCTAAATATTAGTCATTTAAACTTAAGACTGATCATTTCATTTATTTTACAAATCAAATATTTTGTTAACATAAGATATTGGTTGTAGCTAATATGCTTATGATGCAATAGATATCTATAATAACTTTCAAAAACATTGAGCGTATTCAATGATTACTTTAACGAACCCTGGAAGTATCAAAAAACACTGTATTTTTCTTCTATTCGAGGCCTAGCCTAGAGACCTTGATATATATATATATATATTGAGGGATACAAAGATACAAATATTGGGATTACGGTACATATTGAATAACATCGTCATGTGGGTCTTATAATGTGATTGCTATATAAAACGTTTTCCATACATTTTAATACACTATGATATATTTAATTGATGCATAACGATCGCGCTTGTTGAGTGAGTATTTCATTCGCTCTCGAGAAAAAATCTTAAAACTAGAATAGAAATCGGCAAAAGAATTAGGATTCCGTGCCAAACCTGAATTAAGGCACCCTCTATTTTATTTATTAAGAAAGAGTGAGTTGAACAGTAGACAGGGGATACCAGTACACGTATATTCAATTGCGAGTTATGCCCATGAAAAATAGATTGGGTGTGAGGGTGTGGGTGTGCATATGTCCGTTTCGTTGGGAGTTTATTTGTGCCATGAACACATTCACTCACCCACACCACACCACACCCACACCCTCAGCCACCCACACCCACACCCACACCCACACCCATACCCACACCCACACCCACACCCACACCCTTCTGTGGTACAAATGACCATTTCTGTGGTACAATTGACCAATTCTATCGCACAAATGACCGTTTCTATGGCACAATTGACCATTCCTATGGCACAAATGATCTTTTTGTATGGCTCAAACGATCATTTTTGTGGCACCAATGACCCTTTCATAGCGCGTATCATTGGCCGATCCACTGAGGCACCACGCCGAATAGTCACTTCTAATGATGAAGCAAGGGAAGGGGGCAGTCGGAGTTCCTATATGGAACTTTGATGCCTCCATCGCTAAATTTTCGAATGGTGTGATCCATTTGCTAAGTGAAACTCAACCTCCTTCCCATGTGAAAAATATTCTAGCCCCCTAACGAGAACTGTGCCGCAGTGTATTCTATTCGTGAGGAGGCTGAGAGCTTCCACCTTCCCCTATCAGAAGCAAAATCTTGGTTCTGCCATTGTTTCGCACCTGTATTTCACGCTTATTTTGGCTGCGTTTTTCTATTCATTGTTCTTGGAAATTTTTCATTTTCGTCTGATCGGTACCTAACTTTCACTTATTCGCCCTCCGTCTTCCTTGTTTCGGTTGAACTTATCCAGTCATCGTTTTTGGAAATTTCAGGATCTGTGGTTGAAACAGTCGACGAAGTGGGCTGTTCCTATATTTGCATGCGTGAGTTCTGTCAGCCAAGGGCCCAGTGAATCGATTTTCGATTCACGTTACTTGTGAATATTGAATATTTGATAAATCTCTTTGAAATCATTCGTGTTTTTAGATATTTGGTTTTCGTAATACCATTATACATAGCTGAATTCTTATGGATAATATATGGTACCAGAGTGGTTGAATATCTATAAAGGTTGTTCTACAAGTCTGTCGAAAAAGTTATCGTCAATATCTCATGTATTACTCAATGTATTTAACTATATTTTTCTCCTAATAAGTAGTATTGTCTTTGGAATTTTATTCTGCGTATTTTCAGGTAAATATCTATTCTTACAGCTATTAGAATAAATTTGATTTTTTCCCGTTGACTCAGTTTCAGTCACAACTAATTGTCCAGCGAAAAGTACAAGCTGATTTTAACTGAAACGTAGGAAAAAATTGGATTAGAGCAACATTTCAGAATTTTCATGAAAGTAAAAAAGTGAATTTCAGAACATTCAGATAACTTTCAGGCGCTACAGAGGAAAGAATTCAACTAGAATTGACAATTTGAAATGTTCGAAGCCCTGTTGCATTGGGCAAACGAGATTACACTGAAACTATGACTATCTTTCAATAAAATTGTACAACGTGTCGTTTCTCCAGCAGCTTTATGAAGAAGAATCACAATGAACACTTACTATGCGTAAAAAGCATTAGCTAGAAAAATGTGGTGAAATATTGCTCAAATTGATTTGCAGTTTTCGTTGGACAATTAGTTATGAGTGAAACTGTACCATGAACAAAACTTCAAAGAATGAGCATGTCAATCTTCTATTTCTTCACACTTTTACGCTTGCATATCATATACACTGTAAAAAAAAAGAGTAGAATAATAAACCCTTGTCCTTTCTACAAATCATGTTAAACCCTTGAAGGGTTTATGACAACGCCATAAACCCTTAAAGGGTTTATGAAACGAAGGGTATATGAAAAAAAGATGATACAAGAACAAAAAGGGTTTATTAATCTGAGATTTAAGGAGAAGGGTATATGATTTTATCTTCAAGGGTATTTTAATATGCGGTNCATAAACCCTTCTAAGGGTATATGAAAGGGATTAAGAAACTTTTCACATACGGTAAAAGGGTTTAGTCTACGTTGCACTTTCATAAACCCTTAAAGGGTTTATTATTCTACCCTTTTTTTTTACAGTGTAGTCATGTATGGGTTTAAGTATGAAACTTGCAATTATTTGGCTACAAGTTGTTTAGGTCATGAATAAAAAGACTAACCCGTATTTATTGATTTATTTACTTGAAAAACGATGTAATCGAGAGAATTTATTATGAGTTTTCGGCGAACAAAAACAGTTTGAAAGTGAGTCAATGATCATATGGTGAGGTGTTTTTCACCTGTTGTTCTCACCATACAATCCTGAAGAATGAAGTTCAGAAAAAATATTGAAATAGATGCAACTGTAAGTACTACATTTTTACGGTCTCGTCGTCGTCGATTCCAAAAATAGATTCAACTGGGTCTTTGAAATCAATGTAACCGAGAAATGGTGGAGATACCGCATATCCAAGCACTCGTAAGGCTGCTGCGGACAGCTTCATTTCTTTGCATCGTTCAGGTGGCACAGCAAGATATTCGTTTTCAGTTTGCCGATAAAACCCTTTACCCATGAAAATGCCCACTAATTCGCAACATTCATCTTGAGTAGTATTCCCACCAAGGCCATGATACGTATTTGCTAGATAGATGACTGTATCACCTGGCTCCAGCTCGGCTGGTACGGTTTCGTCTACTAGGGCCCTTCTATCTTGATCAATCCACGTATTCGAGCCTGGAATGAAAACAATGGCTCCATTTTTTGCATGTACTCTAGTAAGTGCAGTAAAGCAGCCGATTAACATCGGCCAATCAGATGGGCGTGTGTGATAATCCACGTCATCACGATGAAGTCCTTGCTGTATCCCTCCAGGCTCTAAACGGAAAGCTGCGGTCGCTGAAATAGTAGGCTTCGAAACAGAGGTAAGCTTTTCAGAACCTACGTAGAAATGATAGGTCGATGTAAGCAATTTGTTAACCACAGCTAATTGCAAGGGATGCATAGCTAGATCAACACAGGCATTTGAAATACCAAAAAGACCTGAAACTCGGCGCGTTGTTGTTGCACAATAAGGTGATCCGTCCGCAGAATTAGTGTTAAACTTATGTTGAAGATCTTGTCTCACTTGATCTACATGTTCTTTAGGGAACATGCCTGTCACTATAGCGACACCATCACGATTGAGATGTGCGACTATTTCATCTTCTGCTGTTGCACTCAGTGCCGAAACTCGTGAAATGGTAGCATTTCTGTTTGCCATCGTATGCAGCTACAATTAATCGACAGAGTTACTCCTAAACGTATAGCTGTATTGTGGCGTGCAAAATTAAAACACACATGTACAAAATGAATGCAAATGGAGGATAGACATCATTTTTTTTCTATTCTCTTTTCCTCACTCATCCAAGCGTCCTCACGAAGAACGATAGATACTAATGATGCTCGTTCTGTATCGTATTATACAGCGACAAATATAGAAGAAAATATCAAGGCGAAACCGATATCATCTTTCTCATGGCCGACAAAATCTACTCAAGTATGAGATTCAAATTAATTAAGATGTGTTACCATAAAGCAAAAGTATTGAAGAAAGGTCTATTTCATCGTACTTAATTAGACCCCAAAAGGATAGTTTATTACCGAATTTCAGAAGCTTCTTATTTATTTAAACATCATCATTTTCAGTTCAGAAGATGCAAAAGGTTTTTAGGATTTTTCAACGGAGCTATTGGAGAGCTCCGTAGATGCATAAGTGATTTTGAATTTTTAATGATTTTGTTAGTTAGAAAAAACTTGTTATATATTGCTTCACCCCTTCGGAGTTTCTTTGTCTTATTGAGCAGTGCAAAGTATCATTTGGAGTTCAGAAAGTTTTGGATTACATTTATGAAGTTTTCACGATTATATCAATGATCTTGATTAAGTTTTTGAATATTTTTCACAAAACGTTGAATAGTGTCATAGGGTAGATCACATAAGCTATATATCTCATTTTGAATACAAGTCTTCGATTGAATATGTTGTATGATGCATCCGAGGTCTTCGAAGAAAGCCATGACAAAGCTTACAATTATTAAATGAAAAACAGACTGACCTATCAATGTTCAAAGACTTGATAAGAGTCAATCTGCTATTCTCAACTCTTACTTGTCGACAATCGATTGTTTTGTCAAAGTTAAATGAGTGTGCACTCTAAGAAATAAAGGTTCTTATCCTCGATACACGGTAAGATCCTTTTTTGGTTTTGTTAAAATAGAGGTTTGATATCAAAACAGATCTGAAAAACTGAAATAAAGGTTTTGTACCAAAGGTTTTACACCGAACCATCAATGATTAAATAGAATTAAGTTTTCATGGCTAAGTTTTAGTGCAAAACCTTTCTGAAAAAGTAGAAAAAAGCCTATATATTAATTCTATACCAGAAAGAGCAAAGCATGTTTCCACACCAATATTTCTGCGATGAATCTCCATTAATAATCTTAATAAAAGATTTCGTGCAAAATAATCTGCATCAAACCTTGCTGCGCTCCTCCCTACGGTCAAAATTTTACATAATCCTCTGATGCGGTCGTTGATATCCATCCCACACAGGAAAAACAAATAGCACCACACGGAACAATTTTCGAAACGAATTCTAAACTTTCAAAAAGGTTTCGTAAAAACTCAAGAGAGTCTCAAAATGATTAACAAAAGCCAAGGAAACGTTTTCGAAGGTTTTGTGGAAAACCTACGAAGCCTTAAAAAAGTTCGAAACACTTTTTAGGTTTCGTAGTATCTGCAAAACCATGTTTAAGTTCAGCGAGAGAATTCGAAACCCTTTAATGAGTTTCGCACTAAAGATGAAACCTTCTTGGTTCCGTGTAGTGCTATTTGTTTTTCAGCGTATTCCGAGTATTTCTCAAAACCCAAGGATAATATATATGTCAAAACAATGAAAAGTATGTACAAATATTCTATAGAATAATTTTCAGCATCAATAAAGCTAAATTATTATATGGACTATTTCCACTTACTTTTGCTTGATTTGACATATATATCTTTGGATTTTGCAGTAGTGTCGAAATTGAAACTTGAATTCAACTGAACTCCAAGTTTCAAGTTCGACATATATGACTAGTCGCTATCATTTCTTGATAAGTGTTCGTTGAGTCTTTTCTCTCCTTTTTTATGCGTATGTTTTTCTGTTATCCTTTACATCTATCATTTTCTATGATTTCCCATTTCTTTCTCAATTCATTTCTGTTGTATGCTAAAACGGTTACATTCCAGTATTCTTCTATGATTCTATTTTTTCAAGCAAATACAGGTAAATCTTCTTATAATGAACTGTCATAAGCTAGAGACAGGTATCTTCACCCGAAAAATTGATTACATTTTAGCCTACGTGATAAAAAAAACAGAAAAAAATGTTATTGAAAGTCTCTCAAAGCGCTAGGTTCTTTTTGAACTGGCTCATGGAACAATAATAGATCCAATGTTATATACTGCCTTTATTTTATCTTAATTTGAACGTTTAACACACCTACACCCAATCTAATAATATAACAATCGTATTTCGTTTTCTATCATTTGAATACTCAAAAAATATAGTAATCAAAAATAAGAAGCCAAAAGAAATCTTTTTTTATGTGCTGATCACTTAGCAACTTTGCCTGTTCTCTTGAAACAAAACTGCTTTTACATACTTGGGTCTCTATAATAGCAAAAATTGTTTTTTTTATTCGGACAGCATAAGCGAATAAAGGAATACATAGTAAAACATTTGTATTGCAAATTTAATTATATGGCAGTTCCGTTTTGTTTTCTTCCAATTCACTATTCAAGAAACATAATAATCAAAAAATAAGAAGCCATTAGAAAATCTTCTAAATTATCGATCATTTTTGGACTGTTAAGATGGTCTTGAAGAATAAATTTTTTGTCAGGCATTCTAAAATTCTTAAGAAACTGGAATATTATTTATATCCAGCGACCTTTTCGATTGCTTCTACCGCATATGATCAGGTCAAATAAATTGAACATATATAAGGAACGTTGCATAAATAGTACAAAATATCTTTCAAGTTCAACTATTCAATAAGTTCTATTAAGCAAAAGGGAACGATTGAAGCAATTTTAACATTTGATGTATGATTTTAATACTGATTTAAGAAATTGTAATTTCATTATAAGAAATAAATACCTCTGTGTGTTATAATTGAGAGCTATGCTACTTGTTGCCCATTATTCACAAACCAATCAAAGAAAATCTAGAGAAAACGTGTTTTTCTGAACAGAAATTCTATCTTATTACTTTTTTTAGAAGAATTTCGTTGTGATTAAACAGTGAATCTGAAATCAATATCAGGTTTTAGAATGTAAAATGCAAAATTTGATGCAGTAGAATGTTTTTAAACAAGTAAATGTTTTTGATCGATGAAAGAACGTTTGACATTATTAACAGCCATTAACCATTACAGGCTGTTTCTACAATTTTATTTTGTACAATTAATATGATTTTATCCTAACTGTATCGTTGTAGTTGGATCTGAAATATTTTTCACGCATGAATATATATTTTTTTTGTTTAAAAAAATATAAAATTTACATGGATCGAAATCCTCAAGTGATTGTCGTTTTGATAAATTATTGGGAAAGATTGTCTTCATATAAAAGTCTGTTGTTTGTGCGAATTCTTATAAGTTTGTACTACATCCTTTTTAAAAAGGCAACTTCATGAGCATCTTTTAAGTCATACAAAAGCAACTAAAACTTTCATTTTCTTACTATTCATCTTTCAAAAAAAGTACGAAAGTAAACGATGTTTCTATCAAATAGATGGGTGGTAGCGCGAAGAACTCGAGTAAGAGACTTTCGTGATATCGAGCAACAGCCAGAGAAGTATAAACAAGAAGACGATGCTGATCTCAACAAGTGAGATATTCTTTATTGTTTATTTGATTGATGAAGCAAGGAACTGTTTAAGGTATTGTTGCTGCTGCTCAGTTATAGCATTAGCCGGAGCTTTGATTGGTTTGATAATTGCTGGAACAGCTCTTGGTATAGGTATTGCATTGCTTGTGAAAACGTCCGGTAAGAAACTACTGATGAATGATTAAGATATTAAAAGACTAATAATTTAAGAGCATCCCATGTTTAGTGGATTTAGAAGTTAACGAGATATTTTTCCTTCGTAGATAGCAAAGAGAAGATAAGAGCAGCGAAGTAAAAATCAGAAGATAAATTCAATACAAGTTTTAAAAAGACAAAAAACAAAACTAAATCATAGCGTGTCTAGTTCTAATGCAATTTTGTTGGATTTGTGAAGAAATTCTGGGATTTTAAAGACTGAAAATTTGCTTGTAGACTAAGTCTGGTATGAGGGAACTGAAAGTCAAATTCATTAGAATTTTCGATAGTCAATCGTTTCTGTACCTTTTAGAAGATCAAAATGAAATAATTTATTAAAATCTGAAACACGATTTAATCTTTTGCTATTCCTCCCAAGCTCGATTTTTATTTCTTTTTTTAGTGTGCGTTTTCTTATCATTGTTTACCGTAAAGTACAGAAGTTCAACAAAGAAATCCTCGATATACACTTAAATCAGATGATTATTTCTCAAAGTTTTCCATACGGGTGACAACTTTTGTACGTTGCATATATCAATACTCCCTTAAGATTGCAATTCGCTGAGCTGACATATGGGAAAACAATATCAGATTGGCTTCTTTTCTTTTCATACTCTTGGAAAACAACAACGATGACTGTTCTAATGGTCTATATTTTTAGAAGGAATCTAGCGTCCGTAAATCTTGGTTTCTGTACTAGAGATAGGTTTTTTAGCATAAAATGTAAGGCTTGCAAGGGTGTCCGTGTCGATAGAGTCTGCATGGATATGTCACCGAAACTCACACCTACATACACACAAGAAATTATACAGGACAGGTGGCTTAACATTTTTAACTGCTATGCTCAATCTTCTTGTCTCGCAGTGTCGTACACAGACCTTGGGAGGTGGTTAGGCATGCACCCAAGCCGTTTGGGTTGTTTTTACCTAAGTGAAGAAAAGTCTCTTTATCTACTGAATGACAGGACACAAGATTTTTCCGTCGATAAAAAATTATACTAGAGAACTGACACTACAAAATACCAAAAGAGAGATTTTGGTAGCGTTGTTACCCTATTTGCTAGAGTCAATCAAAAAACCCAAACTCAATGAGTTTGGGTTTGGGCTTGGGTTTGGCGGATGGTTCAATTTCCTTTGAATCTCTTATTTCAACAAACAGAGCATTTGATCATTCTCCATTTAGTTGTCAAGGGTAGACTTCCTTCCATACGACTGGCGCGACAATTTTTTAATATAGTTCGTAATCAGTAGGATAAATTCGAAATATTCAAATTCCCTTATTGAGTTTGGGTGCATGCCTAGAGGTGGTGACTACACCCACAGTCATCAAATGATCGGCCTACACGTCATTTGATCTCAGCACGGCTGCATTCCACACCGATGCATGCACATAAGGATGATAAGGGATCGGGCAGAGCTGGGCATCACCATGGCTATGAGTACATTTTGGACCCCTAACGTGTCGATGTAGTTTTCAAATTACATCGTAGTTCGAAATTCACGTAGACACGTTAAGGGTACGAAATGTACTCGTAGCTATGATGATGCCCAACTCTAGGATCGGAGTGTAAATACAACCTCATTACCCCCTCACTATTCAACCCAGTAACAGTCAATTATAAACACACTACATTTTCTGTTTCGACTTATACCAGAAAAACAACAACTAGTACTTCTAGGTGTGTTTTAGAATAGAAATATTCTTTCAAACTTTTTATTAAGAAAAAGTGATTTTTTTACTATTTTATCTCTATCATAATTCCCAATCATTTATTATACAACATTATAGAATTTTTATATGTCCCTATATTTAGGTACATCATCGGCATGTTGTTGCCAATCAAGTTTAGAAGCTACAGTTCTTGCAACTGCCGGTAAGTAGGGTGTGAGCGTGACTATAGATCTTGTTTTCATGTATACGCCCAGACCTCTGCAGTTTATTATATAGATAATGGCGAATATAAACTACAACTATAGAGATATTTAGTTCAAGCATTCGAATGGAATGTAGTTTGAGGTCTGCAGATGAGACTAAGATCTAGAATCATAATAGCATCTACACGCAACATCCTAGATTTTAATTCGAAACTGAAAAAAGTCTATTGGAAAACTTTAGTTGTTGCCAAATCGTGTATAGATTTCGTAATGATTCACGCAAATTTAAATAACATAGTGAACTACCACGGAAACTTAACATTTTCGTTCGGTAGTTATTTTCTCAAGGTACTAGATATATAGTACTTCTTTAGTAGGAGATTGTGTGGATTAATTCGATGCATTCATGCAGTTATCATAGAAGAATTATATCTTGAAATTTATATCACTTTATTGATTTAATACTAATGAATTATTTCAAAGAGTTTTTTTATTCTAATTCTTTATCATTTTAGAAACAACCAACGCTACTGATACAACTACGCCTAGTAAGTAACAAACTGCATAATTAAATACAAATTCATATAAGGATTGATTGAAGAATATTTTTAAATATTTGAGAATTAGTGAACACCGTATATATGATAATGAAACGGACTAATTATTGAAACACCTTATGATAGTAGAAAGTGAAGTACATGGCAATACTTTAATGAGTCTTGAATTCTATTTTGTTAAGCTTTTCCATTAACAACCCTTTTTCTTGTGATTTATTTGAGTAATTTAATATCATTGTATCTAAAAAGAACTTAATTCCAACGTGAGAGAGAGATGGTGGAACAAAGTGTGCTGATTTAACAATTTTTCCATGCCGCATTTCAGTAGGGCACAAATGTTTTCGCAGAGAATAGAAATTCCAGTAAGAATACGAATATTAAGTTGTCATGAAAGACTATTGAGTTTAACTGAGCCGTATCGATTCCAGTGTCTCTGGTGTGAAGTGCATATACTATGAATAACTTTCTTACTCATAATTACAAGTAAAGTTCAAAGATATCGAAAGCCTATTCACTGGGGCTTCAACTGGCAGAATATGACAACGAAGCAGTTGTATTTTCTTATATAGAACCAAATAGCGTACATTAGAGAGTGTTGCAAAAGATAATGATAAGTAACGCTCCTCGTTTTCACTAACTCGACTGTGCCCTTAGATTACGTGATACTGATGTATCAAGAAGAAATGATCAATAAAGATATTGGCTATCCATTATTAGATCGCGTTGTAAATATCTTTCACGGTGTCTTAAGCGTTTGAAGGGTGTACTTCTGTTTCTGAAAATTAAATTCATCAAATAGTAACTTTGAAATCTTAATATTAAGCTAAAAGTAAATATCGCTGCTTAATTAAAACTAACTCTATAAGTGGATTCAGATGCGTCGGATGATCATTTAGGCTTGTATTTATTTGATCTAAAAATATTAGAATGAGCAATGACTAAAGTGCCATCTAGCAATATAGAATGTGCAATAAATAACTCATTAGAAAGCGGTAATAATTTCATGTTTTGGCAATAAAAAAAAGACAGCTATATCAATTTTTTTTACCATTGTAAATAAAAAAGATAGAAAATGAAATAAATCATTGTCAATGAAAGCTTTTTGGCCTTTGATGGCCAACCTTTTTTGTTCTCGTGTCGATTTCCACATTTTTTGTCTGTGTTTGGTGTGGATGTGGGTCTGAGTTAAGAGAAAAACTACGCCCCAAACTAGAGAGCATTGGGTACAAATGTGTATGGACCCGGACTCAAACGCGTATCCGACTAATTACTGTTCTGCATAAAGCGAATGAAAATTTAAAAAAATTGATAAATTATTATTGTATGGATTAAATTTTTCCGTCAATCGATAATGGATCAGTAAAATTTTCATAGTAGTTTCAAACTTGAAACTTGAGTTCAGTTGAAAATAGAAAATTTCAACTTTCAACTTTCGACGTATGGCGACATATGTGTGAGTCACCATTCATTCTTCAGAATGCTATTGGCTTAAAAGTTGAAAATTGAATTCAAGTTTCAAGTTGGACATATATGAATTTTCAGACCTGGATCAAAACCCATTTTCGTCTATTTTGTTCTTTGTCTTTTTAAACCTATTCATTATTCATTAGAAGAATTCAGATCCATATCACTGTTCCCTTCACAATCAGAAATATATTGCGCTATGCGTTGTGATTGAGCAATTTGTATAAATTATATATTCTATTTCATAAAATTCAAAAAAATCCCTATTTTTTCAAAATGTCAATTCATGTTGCATTTTTGGTATGCAATTTATCTCTAATCTGAACTATTTTCTCGTGTAATATAATCGTTGCTAAAATCGATTTTAGCTCATTCCAATATTTTTATTGCTCCATTAAATATAAGTTGATTATTTATATGTTATACTACTATACTTATTGAAAATACTGCTTGTATTTACTACTGTATAACGCTAATTATTTCTTCGCTATAGAAAAGTAATGTGAATCGAAAATCGAATCACTGGGTTCTATACTAGGAGAGACCACACATGCAAATATATGAGCAGGGATAAAGTCAGTTATTTACGATACAGAACCTGAAATTTTCGAACATGTGGCTTGAGAAGCTCGAGCGAAAGAATAAAGACAAAATTTGGATAACTGAAAGTTAGGTACCGATGAGAAATAAATGAAAAATTTCCAAGAACATGACTAAAACAACATTCAAAGTTAACCAAAAAACAGATGTGAAGAAGTGTCCAAACCATGGTTCTAGTTCTAATCGGGATGGAAAGATCTCAGGTTCGTAATCAGTAGACAGCACTCTGGACAATGCTAGTTAGAGGAGCTTAAATATCTTTGAGAGGGGGATAAATGAAATTTTGCCTAGCTATTGAATAACGGGCTTGAGAAATTTAGTGATGATGGGATTAAAGTTCTTTATCGAAATTTCCCTGTCCCATCACTTGCTCCGTCATTAGAAGTAGCTACTCCGTCTGCCCTTCAGTAAATCAGTCAATAATATGCGTCACAGATATGGTCGTTTGTGCCATGGTTGTTACAAACGGACAGACTGACTGACAGATGGACGGACACAGGTGAATTACGGTTTCTGAGCTCTCCTTACAGTTTAGGGAATAGAATAAATGCATGTTATGTGGTAAATATAATTTCAATTTTTTTATCTCCATTCAACGACTGTAGTAGCCTATTACATCGATTGAGTCATTAATTCTAGATTAGATGCATATGGTCTTAGGAGGAGGGGAAGAGAGAACCCTTCAACTAACTCTAGCTATGACTTACTTCGAAAATTTATGTCAATGCTAGATAATCCACGCAGTTTCTTGGAATGATTTCTCAACTCGTAATTAATGTAAGAGTTAGACCAAAATGGCTACACGAGACAAAAACGATAGATGACACATCAACCGGAGCCATTGTTGAATGTCTCCCAAGTCTTCGATGTGGCCATGAATATTTCTGAAAATAAAGACAACTGATGCGGTGGTTCAAATCTGTCGGCCTAGACTAGACCTAGTTTTTATATCTTAATCGCATGAATACTTAAAATGTATTTTTAGCAATCAAAATATTATAAAGCTTTCGAGATGTATTATTTTTGCTTGGTATTGGCACACGTAGCCGAATACGTGATTCAAAATAAAATTCGATTTTAAGTCAATCTAATGTCACTTTCCAAAACGAGTTTATGAACAAAACATTCATTTGAGAAGCCAATTCTTTGAATTGATATTATTATTTCTTAGTTTGTTTTTCTGCCGATCAACATGTAACTTTGGCGAATGGCCAGGTGATATCAATACAGAATTTGACAGCCGGCGATCATGTTTTAACTTTGTCTGATGATGGCAAGCGTTTTATCGCATCTGAAGTGGCATTCTTTATTCATGCTGAAATGAACAGAACTTGTAAGTTGCTCGAACTTTTAGTGAATAAGTTTTCAAATTCGATATGGGTATGGGTGTAGACGTGGATCTGAATGTGCTACCTTTATCTTTCCTCACACCCACAACCTTATCTAAATCATAGATCTTGATACGAGACTATCTGATTTCCTTGAACCGGTCTGTGACAAGATCGACTATGCCATTATAGAACATTTTCTTCTATAGAACAGACTTTGAAAAAGAAGAGTCACCTATAAATATTTGATTTATTTTGTTGAAACTGATCACATAATAATATTTTGCAAAGCGAACCGTTTCTTTCGTTTATTTATACAATTTCTAGCTCTGTTCTATACTGTGACAACGGAGAGCGGTCAGCAAATAAGCGTTACACCAGATCATTATATTCGTGTCGAAAACAAGGGATATATAATTGCTTCTCAATTAACATTAAACTACTCACTTTTCGTTGCACATTTGAATCATCCAGTTCGTATTCGTTCAATTGAAAAAGAATTCAAAGTAGGTCTTTTTAGTCCGGTTACTTTTGCTGGTACAATCCTTGTTAATGACGTATTTGCTTCGTGCTACTGCCTGAACAATCTTCGTGGTACACACTACGAAAAACATCAATTATATGCACCATTTCGTTTATGGTACTACGTGGCAAAATACTATTTAGGATTCGGTAGTGAAGTTTATGAAATGCCAAGAGATAATATTCATTGGGCCATCGGTACGTACGTTCACTATGGCCACTATGTTGTCTTTATTTATCGATCATTGTGTGCTCTATTCCTCGTGGTTTTGATCGAAATTTTTATTCGCATTAGCGAAACTATTCACCCCATCTTGTTTGAACATTCTTCTTATTATAAGAGATGAGCATGACGGTAAACTGACTACAACACGAACTAACCATAGACATATGCCAAAAAAATTGGCGTTCATTACCATTTTGTTCAACAGAATTTTCGTACTAACCTAATAATGATCTAATAAACTTCATACTAACTCATATCAATAAATTCTTATTAAGATATGCACTACCAAATCGTATAAGAAACCAAGAAACTTTAACAGCCAAGTTGCTATTTTCTGAAAATGAAAGAAAGTTGGTAATTCACAAAATGAATTTTCATATCGAATTTACGTTTTTTAGATTCTTCTAAATTCTATCTAACAAACTGTTCTGTTACGCAGTAATTAGCAACCAGTGTATTAGCAAACTACTGACACTTCTTTCATTGCAGATTTCAAAGATTTAGGCAACCTGAATGTGACGATTTTGATACAGTGAAATGCTTGCGCTGATGGAACTACGCTTTATTGAGCTTCTTCATATCACAAATCGCATCGTTTTCATCCACGACACATTATTATATACGCAGCCGAGAGAGAGAGAGAGAGAGAGAGAGAGAGAGAAAAGTAAAAGACACCAGAAGAGAAAAGGTGGACATAAAAAAGAAAGATGAGAATAGTAGGAAAGATAATCATGGAAGATGATATATGTGTTCCGGTCAACAGAATAAGCAACAAGTCAATGTTCGTTATAAACACATGAACGACAATATATATGTTCAAGAGGAAAAGTCAGAAGATAAAAAACGATGTATGAGCACTCTCATCATAGAACGTCTGACTGAAGTCAGGCTTGTTGGATTTGTTTGCAAGGTTGATCAAGCTGTGCTGTTAAAAAGAAATGAATAACTGTGCTGGTGAGTAGATCTATATATGAGTGAATTGCAACCTTTTGGTAAAATTCATGCGAACAGATGAAAGTGAATCTATACAATTTTTGAGTAGTGCATTTTATTACACTCTATGCTAGATATGCACCAAGCCCAGGCTGTTTGGGTTTGGTGGGCTTGGTCGAATGAGTTTGAGTTTGGGTATTTAGTTGAAGTGCGAGAAAGCCTTTGTTGTCATCCAATATTCAAATATGATAATAAAAATTTGTAGCTTTGTCCTAGTTAGCATAAACAAAGGCACATAAAGTTCAATTAAAATTTCACTCACTTTGGCAAATACTTTTGTAATGACTTAAGTACGCGATAGATCATTGCAAATGTTTTGACAGCATATACTAATATCTTATATATACTGTGTCACAAGTTTTTAGGAAGCTTAAATTTACTATCGATGCATTATTAAGCATGATCGTAATTGAATCCAAGATAATTATGAAAAAAGCAAAAAATACACTCTAAAAAAAGGTTATTTACCGAACCTGAAAAGGATCTTCTCGCGGATACACGGAAAGATCCCTTTTGGTTTCGCAGAAGAACCTTTTCGTACAAACTGATCTGCACCAAATAATCTTCTGATTGTCGGTTGAGCCAAATTTCATTTAATCCTCGGGTGCCGTCCGCAGTAAGCAAACCACTTCTAGTATTCCTCAAAATCCAAGAATGATATATTGGGTAGTCCAGGTTAAATGCCACTCAGTCTTTTTTCAATAACGTCATCATTTTTATTCTCTAGGCCTTAGTTTTTTCCCCAAAAGATTCACCATTCAATTATCTACAAGATTAATATTACAATTGTTTCTGTTGAAAGTTGAGGAAAAAAATTTAAAAAAAAAGAATATTCAACAAGTATAACAGCATCAACTTTCAAAGCTAAAAAATAGTTCTTGCAGATTTTCTCGTTAGTCAGTGACGATAAAAATTAAACAATGTAAGCATTTTGTAGCCCTTGAAAAGCTCTATCCTCGTATCATAATTGAGAAATTTTCATGCCCACCCTTGCAATGCGTGCTCTAATTATCTTCCCCGTCAGATTTGCGAGAATTTAGCTCTTTTAATCTGCATTTCCGATACTTCTAGGAAAAGAAGCACAACTAAGCCAAAGTCGAACACGAAATTTGAGTTTTAATTTTTTTCTTCAATTCAGCTAGCGCCAAATATTTGATAGAAGCTATTTTGAAGAGAATTTTCAAAAAGTCAGATTTTCCGATCTTTCATTTGATTTTAACGAGTTCTGAGCTAGACGACGAGAAAGATTACACTTCAAAATACTCAGGATTCTGTTTCCTTGTGTCTCATTGTAAAAAAGTTTGAAAAAGTTTGTTTTAAAAATCACTTTGAAAGTTGATCCTGTTACACTTGTTGAATATTCTTTTTTTTAAATTTTTTCCTCAACTCTCAACAGAAAAAACTGTAATATCAATCTTGTAGAGAATTGAGTGGCGAATCTTTTGGGGGGAAAACTAAGGCCTAGAGAATAAAAATGATGAAGTTATTGAAAAAAGACTGAGAGTGACATTTAACCTGGGCCACCCGATATATCCATATCAATCAAAACTAAATGGAGATAGACTATAGAGTGATTTTCTTTTACCGATGTAAATGGTTGCTCCATAGACTAGGTCCACTTACTTTAGATAGATTTGCATATATATATATATATATATATCATCCTTCGATTTTGAGAAATATTCGAAATGGTACGCACACCACGAACCGCACTCGAGGGTTAAATGAAATCCGCCGATCAATTTCATAATTGAAACCACCTGCAAACATAGAAAAAAATAGGTATAAGTATTTTACAAGAATAAACTCCCCCTTCATTTGCGCACTTGAATCAACCCAAAAATTTAAAAAAGCACAAAACTTCATCAAGTTACAAAACGTGAAACTTACCGTAAGAGTTCATATACGTATATATCAATCTACAATAACAACATTAACAAATTCATTAAATTGGTAAGATCAAGCTTACCTAATTTTTCACATAGACATCAACCTAGAACAAAATCACAACAAACAAATTTATGAGATTCCTTCAAATCAAACTTACCCAAAAAAATGCATTCTTCAAGCAAACAACACTTGAGCAAAACAAATCTGCGTTATTTCGTGAAATCACCTTTACTCAAAATTTTAATGCTACTGAATCTATAATATAAACAGCATATAAAGTAGTTTCCATTGGATCAAACTTACCCACCAACATTTTATATACTAATCGATCTACAACAGTAACCCGATGCCAATTCTTTTCACACTCACACCGATTATCTGACCAATGGGAGCTCGTGGAAGAAAACCGATCACATATTCGGCTTCCTCGACCCTGACAACCTATTGAAAACTTACTTCAAAATTTTGTCGGGGTGTGGGTGTGTGGGCGTGGTATATGTGATTGGAATGCGATTATCGATCTAGTGACACCCACACCCTAGTGAAAACAGTTACTTCCAACTAGATGGGTCCCTTCTCAGCAAATAGAATCAGATTTTGGGTTGGTTGTGTCACCATGCAAAGGCGAATGTTCCGTTATACTTGACCAATATCAATGAGACAGCTCTAGTGACCGTGTCAACCTTGTCTAGAGTAGCCTTTACATCGCAAAGTGACTAGTGTCATCAATGAAGTATGAAATTCTGCACAAGATGCTATATTTTATTTAACGAACATATTCTCCTCCAGTTTCTTTAATTATGCGTAACCATTTAGTAAAATCATTCACAGAATTTAAAATTTCTTCTTTTTCAATTTTCTTGACGGAATGTTTTATTTCTTGTATCAATAATTCTTCTGTTGTTATTTTCTTCCAGTTCATTAATTTACCCAACTCATTCCATGAACTGTAGTCAAATGTACACAAATCCGGCGAATTAGGAGGACATCGATCTTTGGAAATAAACGAAGGAAAGTGATCGATGGACCATTTTTGACTGAAATAATGTATGTGAGGTCTTGCACCATCTTGTTGATACGTGCAATGTTCTCCTAACATTTCGTTACCACATTCTAGAGCTATTGGAAGAACTTCATCGATGTATCGTTGAGTATCCATTGGTCCATCTTCAAAAATCACCTGCGCCGACAACCCTTCACTATATACACCTAACCGCACCATAACTTTCACCGGAAATTTAGTTGTTTCATAAATAGCTACTCTTTTGTCAGCCTCTTCCCTGCTTATAGCCCAAATCCGGTCGTTTTGATTATTGCATATGCCATTCAGATCGAAATATTTTTCGTCCGAAAATAACCATCTTGTGATATCACTTTTGGTGTAATTGTTCAGAACCCAATTTGCAAATTTAACTCTTTTCTTTTTTTTAACATCTGTTAATTTGGGCTGTTTAATTTTCTTGTATGGAAAACAACCTAGATCTTTACGTAAAATTCGATGAATACTGCTTTCAAGATGTTAGCTTTTGTACGAGCGGTGCGTGGACGGCCTGGTGGTGAAGATAATTCGATAGAACCTGTATTGCGAACCTTTTTAATCCATAATTTAATTGTTTGTAATGAAACGACTCCGGCGAGATCACGATATATTTTTGTTGGGCCATGACCATTTTCAAATTTAGCTTTTCCAACTTCTTGCATATCTTTACTCTTCATGATTTTAATTAATGAATTAAAATAACTTTTAATTTGAATAATATATGGATTTGTAGAGAATTTAATCCTTTATCTTTTCTTAAAGAAAGATGTCCCGATTCATCGAAAAATAGGAGTAAAATACTTAAAAAAACAAACAGTCTAATTTATTCTGGGACAACCGATATTATTACTCAGCGGTTTTTCGACTGATCCACTTAATTCTTTTTCTATTAAATTCACTGTCATAGTCTACAAAACGAGATGGTTTTATTAATCTAAATAGTCAGAATCATTTTATTTTAAACGATACAATCGGTTAGTCCACTTGTTACAACTTTCAAACACTACTTGTAACCGAATCTTTTTCGCAGCACGTTTTAGTTCATGAATCAAAGTTACTTTTAATTGTATATTGTTCCAGTTGATGTGGCTCACAAACTCATCCCATATGCAGTAATCTAGGGGATTTAAATCAGGACTATTTTGGGGCCAATGATCTTTATCGATGAACATTGGAAAATGTTCTTGGGACCATTGCTGTGTTAGAATATGGGTATGGGCTGTAGCATTTTCCTGCTGGAATATCCAATCATTTCCAAACATTTCATTTCCATACTTTAAAGCCACAGGTAGAACATTTTTTATGTATCGTTCATGATTCATTGATTCTTTACCCAAAATTACCAACGGGAAAACACCTAACCAAACCATAATCTTATCTGAAAACTTTCGATTTTGCTTCCTACCACCAGCTTTATCTGCTTCCTGACAATTGACTACCCATATACGATCGTTTTGTGAATTGTGCACCCCATCAATGGAACGTCTTTTCGTCGGAAAACAATATTTTCATTGTTGTTTCCTTTTTGAAATATGTTCTGATCCAATTCGAAAATCTTTTTCTTTTGGCCTTATGTTCACCTTCAAGCAATGGTACGACTCGCATTTTATATGCATGATATTGTCGATCATCTCTTAGTATTCGGCGAACACTAGTTCGTGAAATACTAATTGCATGAGCCAATATTCGAGAAGAAACCTTTTTCTTCTGTTTTAAGCGACTTTTCACTTTTTCAAACATTTGTTTTGTACGAATAATACGTGGAGGACCTGGTGGAGCAGATAATTGAATAGCACCAGTCTTCTCAATCATATTACACCATCTTCTCACTGTATCATAACTAATAGCACCGTTTAAATCGCGAAAAATTTTCGCTATGGAATCACCACTTTCATGCTTTGAAAGTACTAGTTGTTGAAGTTCTTTACTTTTCATTATTCGGAACGCTCTTATAATGAACACTATATTGGGGAAAATATATCCGTTTGCCGAAATGCACGTGCACAATTGAACGAAAAAAAGAATCCGTCCGATCGAATAAAGAATGATCGACTTATTACAGAAATAAAAGATACTTATTTAATCTGGCCCACCCGATATTATCGACGTGCATACCCCTACATCACTGAAATAATGCATAATTGTTTACTCTCAACATCTTTCAATGCGGATTGATTGTTAGAGTATGGAAACATGTCAAACAACTATCTTCTAAGAAGCGTACCACGTGAATATGCCAATGGCATATGCAGTTGTGTCGTCTTTAAATAATGCACTGCACCTCTGCGAGTCGGTCCACCTGAACTTATTCTACCTGCTCTTGTCATAGGGTGCGTTCCTATCGATGGACTACGCTTATTGATACTCGAGTGTTTTTTCTCCCTTAGTTGTGTATCCACCATCATTAGTTACTCGGGCTAGTATACACAGATGGACTGGTCGCCACCAATCAATTTTGTTCCACCCATTGTGCCTATCTTGATCATTACTCCACTTAACAGTTCGTTATTGTCACGATTTTCACCCCACACACCCATCGGTACACTCATGGATGAACTATTCATCAAATAGTGGACAAATTACAGCAGTTATGAGAACTATTGTTCTGCATGTGCTCCAGGCTTGTGCACTTATCAATATGTCAAGTATAACAACATCATATATGTAATAACGACAATACTTTCTCTATACGGTGGGCTCACTGTTGCTTTACGATTCCTTGTCTGGAACAGTCTATGTTTTTATCAAAAACTTAAAAATCGATAAAATTAGATTTGTACCATTAATGTCGTGTCATCAGTATCAAGAAACGAAGTGAAAATTAATGATTAAGTGAAAAATTTTAAGTATAATAGATAAGAAAGACATTGTTAGTCTCAACGCTGATTGTTTCTGCTGTTGCCACTCTATCAATGCTTATTGTATTCGAATATTCTTTGTTCTTATCTAAATATTATATGGAAAAATAGAAATACAGGTGAAATATGATGCAAATCGAAGAATTCGAATGGTTAATCAGTTTCTCAAAATTCTTCAGCTTCATTTCTCTTCATAAAACAATACTAGTTACCCAAAAAAAGAACATTGATAATTGTTCTGCTGAAATAATAGGTGGTCCAACAAAATCTTTAATTGATTTCAAGAAAAATAATTTTATACGATACTGAACAGTGCTTTAATTTCACCATTTTTCACTCTTCCAATCTACTGCTGTATAATATATGTGATGTGTTTAGGTCTATTTCTTCTACAAACTATTTTAATATCTTGTTTGTGTTATCCACACAATGATATTCATACTTGAGAAAGTCTACACTTGTCGAGCTCTATTTTAGTCATCTTCTAATCTTGTAGCAAGCACCATACCACCATTGAGTGATAGCGACACTTAGACCATGAACTTTTTATTAAAATAATAGTAGAGGTAGTGCTAAGTACAAAATGACAAAAAGCAGTATCACCTTGAAAAGAGCAGATAGGATATTCAAGACGATAATATCACAGCCACTATACAACTCTATCAACAAGATTCAGTATTATTATGAACTCTGATTCATTTTCTCAAGAAACACATGAACAAGCGGCAGCATTTGACCATATTGCCGAACAATATGAGGTAGTATTTGGCTTGAATAAAAATCATATGGCTGCTGTGAGTTGGCTGCTCGAACGTCTGCCACCGAACTCGCATATCTTAGATATAGGTTCAGGTACAGGGGTGCCCACTGCACGACTCTTATTTGATGCTGGACATAAGGTGACTGGTATTGATATCTCATCAGAAATGGTGCGAATCGCCAAATACAATGTACCAACAGCGACCTTCCTCCAGGCAGATGCTGCCAATGTTACATTTCCTCCTGCATCATTTTATGCGATTACAGCTTTTTTCTCGCTTCTAATGCTACGACGCGACTGCATCGAATCAACCCTTCAGAAACTTAAGACTATGTTACAACCACCTAGCTATTTTATATTGTCAATGGTCGAAGGTGATTTCGATTATAAGAAAATTCCATTTCTCAGTCAATCGTTACATGTCTCTGCATATCCACGTGATGTCATAGCTCGTCAACTTGAAAATCTTTCATTTACCATATTTGATAGTCATGCTGTACAATCCCAAGCGAATGAGCATACACCAACTGAGACGCAGCTGTTCTTTTTCTGCCAATATCAGAAGTGAATTAGCCTCGAGTACATTGAAAATGTCAACCCGAACGACCATTTATTTTCGAGATTGTCCAATATTCTGCCTTTTCTCATTAAACTGATTTTATTATTTTAAAGCTGATTTTTTTAAGTGCTCTAAATGATAACTCAATTGATACGAGTTTGTTTATGACTTTTCTTATTTTATTCAAAAAGAATGTATACAAGCTATTTTGAACGTGTCTTGTATGCCATTTTTATACGTAAAATAAAAAGAGCTAGGATTGTATGCAGTAAATCTCTTTTCATCCTATCATCAAATTTGCAAGCAGTGCAATATAGATGGGAACATATTTATTGTTGTCTTCTTTGTGATGTGTGCCACCATTAAGATAAGAATACAAAGGACAATAAAACATGATATTTGTAACCATCCTGAAGAGAGAAGGGTAAGCACTTTATTCGATTATGAATTTCACAGCATATATTCTTTACTCATAGATGCCTTCACAAAACTATCTGGCTTCTTACAAAAAAGTATATATTGTATACAGTAAGAGGAATCACAAGATGTGTCTTTCTTACTTTAATTTGCAGATAGATTTTGAAATAGTGACTTCTATAAAATCTTGATCCGAAAAATAAATTCAAAATATTCATAAATAATATACTCAATAATTTAACGAGAAAAATAACTCTTCTATGGTTGCTACCGATTTCAGCATATTAGTTTTATTTTATCTACAAATATTGTGATGAAAATTGCAGAGAGCAGCACAAAGAAAGCAGTTTGAGCTTAAAACACATGTTCAAAGAAGCTTGTCGCTAACAGAATGTGTGTGCTGAAATCCATTGCACACGATCCGATTTCCAAATCTTTTTTTCTTCTGTTCTCTCATATTGGTCACCTATTTCCTGTTTGTTCGAGATCGAAAGACTTTGAAAACCCTTTTTATTTTAAATGTAGAGAATCACAAAATTTTGCTCAGTTTACAAAAAAAGATTTTGGAAACTATTTCAGATTCATCTTCATATAAATTGAACAGATGTTCCTGAGATTTAGACATAGAAGAGAGCACCAAGACACGTACGTTTCGGAAAACAATTCCATTACACAAGATTTCGATTTCGCTCAGCTCAAATCTATCATACTTACTACTAAATCCTTCGGAAATATCGCTTATCTAATGAATACAATTGAGATTTTTAATGAGACTCAATAAGCGAGAAAGAAAAAAATGCAAGCGCTATGGGTGTCAATTTATAGTTTACTTAGTTTAAATTTAACTTCGCGAAAAGCTAATTGAATTAAAAATTGAACTAAATTTTAGAAGTGGAAATCATTTAAATTTAAAACTTGAATTTAATAAATTTTTTGAATGGATACTCATCATTGCTATGAGGAAAATACGTGATTTTAACAGTAGTAAATGCTAAATGAGAGGAAACGTAGTATTTTAGGTTAATATTTGTTCATTATAATCAAAATTTCTCTACAGATATTGCAGAATTCATTATATATCCTCTTTAAAATACCACGATACTCATAAAAATATATTTAATAGCATAATTCGTAGACGAATGATTAGCTTTAGCTTTAGAAAACAAGAAACATACTCAAATTTGACTTTAAATAGTAGCAGTCAAGTCAAAAGCTATGTTTATCTACTAGTTTTCAAAATTTAACTAATTTGAATTTCAAACAATTTAATTTAAACATAGTTAAATTTAGCTATTCATTTAACAAAAAATTTCTTTATTTTAAATTAAAATCTTTAAAAGTTTATTTCTCGATTTAATATTTTTTTGATTTAAAAGTGGCACCCCTAGCAAGTACCCTCTCTAATAAAATTAGATAACCCTAAAAAATGTGTATGCTGCAATTTTGATTACACAAGTCAATCAAAGCTGTCCCTTTTATCTAATTTAAAAAAAACAAGTAACGTTCATCGACATCGAAAGTCGATTTACTGAGCCCTAGACTGATACGCATTACAGCTTGAAATGCACTCACTGCCGAGAAGATGACTTGTTTGTCGCAGAAACAGATCCTGAAACTTCAAAAAGAGGCCAGCGTATAAGTTGATGGGAGAGGCGGAGAGAATCGATTAAATGAAAACTGGGCAAAAATCAGACGAAAATGAAAAATTGAGAACGAAAATCAATGATAAAAAGCACACAAAGACAAGCCGAAATACGAAGGGGGCCAACAGTCAAACTACGGTTTGGGGATGGGGAGAGAATCTCAGGTTCTTTTATTCATAAGAAGCGTGTTTGAAGAATCATGTCAGCGGGCTCGAAGGTTTTCAGCGGCGAGTGGGGGGGGGGGTGTGGGTGTGCGCGCCCCTAGCTGCTAATTGCGTGACTCTGAGATTTTGCAATAGAAGCATCAAAATTCCTGAGGGGGCTCCTCCTGTCTGGCTCTATTGGCTTTACGACTGGATGGAGGTATTGCATGTTTCCCTCTCACGAATCCCCATATGGTAGGCACCATAAAGATGATCATTTGTGCCACAGAAGTGGTCCTTTGTACCATAGAAATGGTCCTTTCCTTCATTGTTACAGGCAGACAGGCAGACAGACAGAGAGACACAGATGAATTACGGTCTCCAGACCCTATCCTTTCAGTCTAGGTGTGCCAATAATGCATGGACATCCTTTATTGTTCACATATTTGCGTTTCCATTTCTTTGGAATATCCTCTGATCCGGTATTAGGAAGTAGGAATACATCACGATGAGTGTTATGCAATATGCCATAGGCGTTATATAACCTAGCACTCTCATCAATCTTTCTGGTTTACTTCTTAATGTTATCTATCTACTTTTATGTAACGTGATTGCATCTTTAGACATAACCTACGTAATGCGCATGTGCCTATTATATCTTTCTCTATTCTTCTCTCTGTCTTGTGTGCACGTATATAAAGCGAGTGCATTGTATTATATATCAGAACTGGAACAGAACTGGAAAGTTAGAGAACGGATTAGTGTAACTAACAACTTATACACTGAGGATAGCGGTAACGCTACTCTTCCAGTTTCTCTTTGTGATCACAAACAAAAAAATAAAAGCTGCAGTAGTAACGAATATAAGCTATCCATTTATCATCAAACAATATTTCGTTACACTAGGGAACACCACGTTCTAACAGAACCCATATAATATTTTCAGTTCAATCCGATTCTTGATAATCTTAATCGATAAAATATAGCAAAATCTATCGACCGATGTATTATGAGACTTCTTTCAAGCTGATATATTACACTTTTTCATCAGTAATCTTCATACCGGAAGCGCTGAATTTTATATAGAGGTGTTTTCGCAAGGGGGAAATAGCGGACTCCAATCCAGTGGAGTCCAGTGGAGTCCAGTGGAGTCCAATGGAGTCCAATGGAGTCCAATGGAGTCCAATGGAGTCCAATGGAGTCCAATGGAGTCCAGTGAAGTCGTTTGAAACTCTGTAGAGCACTTCAAGTATATTATAGATATATAATACACTTGTATATTGATTTTGCTTCTCATCACCTGTTATATAGAATTAAACAGATACTAGCTCCAATTTTGAGAAGGACGCACAGTATCTGTGTACCATCCATTCACAACACATTGAGTGAATAAAAAAATTACAGCAAACATAGTATACCCTGTATTGAAAAAAAGTCGAACAAAACTAGAAAAAAAAACTTATATTATCATTTATTGATCTGTTGCACGCGAAGTAATCGATCATTTGAAAGTTTACTTTTATCTTCTGTTAACAACCAACATGCAGTTTGTTTGTGTAAAAATTTTGTATCATGATTTAATTTCACTTTAAAATAAGTATGCTCAATGTGAGGTTGTACTTTATCAGCAACTTTTACTCCAGAGAAGTCTTTCTTTGTAGTAGTTATTAAATCTCGTGCGTTATTTTGTTCGTCTTCATCAGTGGAATCGTTATTAACAGAGCTATCATCATTGTCCTCATTCATGTTTAGATCATTTGTTGTTTCATCTTCTTCATTATCATCATCAATTTCAAATACTTCATCGTCCAGATTGCATATTTGCGAAGAGTAATTATGCTTTTTCGAATCGAAATTTAATTGTCGAAATAAATATTCACTTAATGGTTTTAATTCAAGAACATCGTTTTTTTCCAATAAGTTCAATATATCTATGCCTTCCAGCATGTCAAGAGCTTGATGGTATGCATCAGTAATAACTTGTTCGATGTCTATTTCATCAATTTCGCGTTGACTGTGTGTAAATGATGATTGACGTTCAACACGATGTTTATAATGAATCGGAAACACTAAATTATCAACTGAACCATTTTGTAATTGTTTACATTTAATTTCATTCAATAATGATAGCCTTTGAGCACGTCGTAGAAAATCATGTACTGTAAAATTGACTATCGTTGAATAAATTCCACTTAGCGCTCGCGTATTTCTAAAAATTGATTCACAAGCTTGCGAGTTAAAAATATGAATATGTAGTGCTTGTGGTGGTAACTGCTTTTGTTTCACAAGCGAAATCAAATATAATAAATTGTGAGCATTTATTTCAACCGACAAATATGCTGCTTGTGTAATAAAATATTTGCTTTTATTTTTTTTTCTGGTTTGTGTTGAATAAAATGTTTTAAATTTAACCCAGGTAAACCATAGCCGACAAAAAAATACTACACACCAAGCAGAGCGTAGTCCTACAATAAGATCTTATTATCTGTGATTCAGTGTGCATAAGTGCTTACTTTCAACTATTGTCGTTGTTTTTTCAATATAGGCTACTATAATCATTTTTAACATTCGAAGATAAAGCAAAGTTCCACGAGTATCATCATCAGCATTTAAAATATTGAATAGATCATTAGATGTTAATTTGAAGCACGAACTAAAGTTTTGGCGATCTTTAGGGTTAATGTCAGATTTTGTTAGACCATGATCAAGTTTAGAATAAGTATCATTTTCAATAATATCATGCAAATGATTGATCGATATTGACTGATTTCCAATATATAATTCTGCTGTTGCTGATAATAAACGATTACGCCATTTGGTTACCAAATGTGTCGGATCTTGAAAAAATAATAATAATTGTTGTTCACGAAGATAAAACCAAGACCAATGTGATTTTATTTTTATTTGAAATGCTTGTGGGTGCTGGTGAACTTGAAAATTTGGAAGAGCTCCAAGAAAACCGCTCATTAAACGCATAGCACGTAGATATTTTGGATCCGCATCTATAAAAGAAAATGAAGTTATTCTTTAATAAAATTTGAAAAAAATTGTCTCACCGGTAGAAAAACCAATAATCCTTATATTTCTTTGCAAGGATTGATTAAATATATACCACCATCTCTGTAATATATCGTCTGCTGTCGCAGTATTGTCAATTCCATATGCTGACAACAGATAAGGACTTGATATGCTGCTATTATCTGTGGATGGCACTGGCTGAATCATATGTACATTCAATAACGATGCGTTATCAATTGAATTGAACCATAATTTTAATGTATCAAATGAATCGGTCTGATAATATGATTTAATTGGCACTCCACGATCAAGTAATGAAGGAAATCCAGTAAATGCATTTGTTGTTGAATCATATTTAATTCTTTTAACTATTCCAGTACAATCTTCAGAGCCGAATGCATAGTGTACATTAAGACTATCAAAATGTTTTTGAAGTTGATCAAATCGAAATTCTCCTTCACTGATTCTTGAATCTGAACTTGAAATCAATGAATTTAATAAAGATAGATGCGGTAAAGATCCAGGTAAATTTAATCTAATAAATTCATAGGTCAATTTTCCACCTAAAATGTATAATGCTAAAGCAAAATTCTTAATTGAATTACTATATCGAAAATTATTGCTTGATTTGGCCAAATTATCAGTGAGAGTATCAATAAAATGTTTTAAAAAAGTATTGTTATTTTGATCGTCTACATTTTCATTGTCCACTCGTTGATACCAAATAATTAATTTTTTTAACAATGGATATTTATTTATAAAATCAAATGATAAACTTGAATAAGAATCTCCATTACTACTTTTTTTAATTTGTTTTTGTTGCTGTTGCTTTAAAAATTCTAATAAACAATTTAAATTATTTATTAACCCAATCTTTACAATAAATGCTCCATTATCAAGTTGAAAACATGATCTTTCTCTTATCATTAAGAAACTAGGTTCCGAACAATTCATATTAAATATTTCAAAGATGTTCGGGTTTCGAATAAGAGATTGTGTAGATGTAATTGATTGAAATTTTAGAATCTCCACCATTTGTTGACCAACTAATGCTTGAATAAATTCATAAAATTCATTATTCTTTAAAGCAAAAACATTCTCTGCTAATATATCATCCATAAGAAAAAAACGATCGATTTTTTATCTAGAAAACGAAATGTGCTGAAAGATAATAGTTTATAATAAGTTTGAAAAAAAGTTTGATATATTTTTCAAAGCCTTCCAGCTGATAAATGACAGTGATGAATCACATATCGGTAATTTGAAGAAAACGTCCATCATTTGAAAAGATGGAATATTACAAACCATTGAAAAATACTAGCTACGCTTGTATAGAGAACATCACATTAGAAGCTATTGGTTCATAATATTCATGAATCATTAAACCTTTCTCGCTTATTCTCCCTCTCTGTCTCTCAAGAGAATTTTAATTTTCAAAATTATAACTAAATTTAAATATGTTCCAAACAGAAGCTCTTATTGATACATCAATTTTGCCATCTGATATTATGTCATTACGTGACGTTAAATTTTTTGATTTTGTTCGAAAAGAAGCTGGTGATGCTGCTGCTGATCTNGGCAGATGTTTATTGTATTATGAATTTGAAAAGCAAAGCTTTAGATTGTTTTAAAAATAAACATGGTTTTATGCTTGATGATGATACATTCATTATAAAATCTGGTATAAAAGGAAATGTGGACTATCTTTTTGATTTATTAAAACAAAAATGTACTGAAGATGCAAAGTTAACAAAAACTTCAAAACGTAATCAATCATCACCACCATTAAATAGAACCATAAACACATCCTCAACTACCACAGAATCGACAATGGCGGTTTTATCGAGTAATTCATCAAACGTTGTCACATCAAAATCTTTAAACTTATCACTCGATGAACATAAATCTTATATAAATATTACATTGAACAATTGGTGTAAAAATAATGAATCAAGACTTAATTTGTCAAATTTGTCCTTGATTGAAGATCAACATTACTCTATTTCCATATAAAATGATGCAAGTGGTGTATTAAAAGCTAATATAAAATGTTGTTGTAACAAATGGATGTCATTAACAAATAATCGTGGCAAATTTCAACTATCAAACTTTTACAGGCATTTACAAGATTTTCGTAATAATAATACATGTGATAAAATGAAAGAATGAATAAAAAAACGTAAGCTGATTTCATCAATAACTGCAGATAATCAACAATCTTTTACATATTCAGATACTGCACCAGATCACGAATCATCATCAGATACTGCACCAGACCATGAATCATCATCAAATACGATATTACTTAATTCTACGTCTTCCTCTATAACAACCGATGATCATGAAAGCCTTGAATAACTTTCGCCATTATTAAAAAGTAAAAGTAGAGCGAAAAGAAAGCTTCATTCAGTACAATCATCTTATAATACGAAAGAAGTTGTAAAAAGAGCGAGAAGACAATAATATTTACTCTAGGAACATTTTCCTGTTTATAATTCTCGTTTTACTTCTTTCATAGTATATCATACTGTATATAGTCTTCTTATGAAGTTGGATTTTTTAACTTTACAATTTCCTTATTATTTTTTAAGATTTTTCATTCGTTAATTGTTTTCATGTTTATATTTTTTCATATTTTTACACTTTATCAGACGCTATGAAGCATTTACAAAAGATTGTGATAGTAAAAAAGGAAATTTTTAATCGACAGTTAATGCATAGTCTGTTTTTTTATTTCCGATAGCTGAAGGCAATAAGCAGCAGATTTTATCATAGCTTGGATTGCTGGACTCCAGAGAAGGCTGGAGTCCATTGGAGTCCTAAAGTCCTGGAGTACGCTATTTCCCCCTTGCCACACCCACACCCACCTTCTCAATAAATGTTGGTGAGCAAAAATACAATAGAAACCATATACAACGGATAAAATTCCTGATTTTTGCTTTGCCCTTTAGTCAAAAACTAACTTCATATGGGTGGCACATTGACCATGGATCAGGTGTATACCTCTTCTGTAATTGATTTGGTTCGTTCGAAAGTACGCTTTCAATGCTTTGAATCCAATATTCACAGTCTTTAGCTTTTGACCCTTGAAATACAATATTTGGCTTGGAATTGATGATTCTGGAGCATTGTCTAAGGCACTCAAGAGCTTGTGCACATTGTCTGCGGTGATAAAAAGCGCAAGCCAAATTCCAGTGGATCACTGCTAAAAATATACTAGTAGAACCAGACGATGTTAATACAGTATCATCAACTACCAATATTTCATGAAAATGTTCGGTTGCTTTAGCGTAACTTCCTTGCAAAATGTACACGATACCAATGTTGTTTTTCGTAATCAGTAGTTTGACATCATTAGGGCGAAGTATTTCGGACTCAATCTGTAAACAGTTAGTGTAGTTTTCTGATGATTGTTCATAGTAATGCTTTTTACGACATATAGAAGCAATATTGCTATATTTGACAGCTAGATCATTTTGATTTACCGTCTCAACGTCTACAAGGACTTTCAATGCCAAGTTATGATATGTATGAGCATTACTGTATTCACCTAAATCTTCATATACAGTTCCTAGATTGGTATATAAATTTGACAGCGACGGATCAGTATGCGATACACCGTTCTCCAACCTCGTACTTAACGCCTTTTTGAAGTGCATCGCTGCCTCATTGATTTTTCCACTTTTCTTGCATATAACTCCAAGTTGATAGTAGATGAGTGCGAGTAAATGCAAGTCACTACCGATTGATTTGTCTTCCAGAGCCAACAATGAAAATCGCTCTGCGTCCTCCAAATATTGCATTCTCAACATGATTCTTGTTAATTTTACTAACGGTTTGTATGGTTTTGTAATATCTTCCTTAATTATGGAATTAATTTTGTGTAAGTGCTTATCTTCTTCATCGCTTAATTCCAATCGAACGAGCCAAATATCTTCATTGTGTTCCCTTATAACCGATTTTATACGAAAAATGGTACCCATGGTAAAAAGAATTTCTTGCTCACCTTCCATAAACGCACTTTCATTTGAAATATCTGCATATGAAAATTTTTTTATGCTCGTATCAATAGGAATTTCAAATAAAATAGACTGCTCTTTGGATATTGCGCTCGAGGTATTATTACCAGCATAGATGACTGCTAACTCTCGAATTGCTGTTGTTGACATGAAACTGTTTATGGAGAAGAATCCATCAATGTTGTTCTGTATGTTATGGCCGAACTCAAAATTGCTCACTTGTTGTCCTCGATAAACAGTCTTTTTCGTCAGAGGTATTAAACGAGATGATAATTGAGCATTGAAGCATTCTTTCAATCTCAGATACAGATCTTTAATAAAGCATCTCATTGAGTAGAGCGTTTGAACGTCTTGATCTCTTAGAGCTTTGTTTAATAGACGATATAGAAATATATCACGTGTGTACCAAACTATAGCATTTGTAGGTTCGTAGTATTCTTCGAACTCTTCCACATGGTTTAACTCTGTTGGGTTATCAGCAAATTTTTTCCGAAAAAAGGCAACCAGTTCACTTTGTGACAACTTCACATCCTCGAGTAGAACATCACGAAGAACTTTGAAGTACAGAAACTCGAGTTCATTTTGATTATAGCCAGTACTTGATAAGTTCACGGATGGCTGATATTGTGGTAATGATTCTGTTACGAAGCAATCCGTTAGCTTGCCCTTTGCAGTGATAATAAAGTCCGTAGGTAAATAATCGTCTCTCCGTCTACGGTTTATACTCGTTAATGAATTCAAATCGTTACATAAGGAATAAAAATCAGTATATATTCCACTGATTCGAGTTGATTTACTAAAGATTTTGGCGTTGATTTCATTTGCATCGCATAAAATATAGATTGCGTGGACTTGTGTTAATTGTACGAATTGTTGCATTGATTTATCAGACGCAAGTAGTGTTTTGTAATATGAAACAATCAAGACCACATGATCTTCATTACCTAGTGAATTGCTTATATAATCGATGCAGCTTTGTGCATTACGATAGGAGACAAGGTAAGGATCGATTTTACATAGTGAAATGTACCATTGCTTATTTCGTACCTCTCCTTGATCTAGCCAGACGACTGTGGTGAAATTTTTCATGTTTCGGTAGTCAACATTCATTAAAATTAAGAGAGAATGCTGAACTTCGTTCTATCATGGCATTTATATGCAATAGAATTTTTTATCTTTCTTTTTATATTCTGCTGCTCATAATTTTACTCTTTTTTTTGTGTTAACTAACGTTCGGCCGATGAGAGAAAAAAATAGTTGTTTGAATGTTACCGAGCAACAGTCAGAAAGAAAAAAAATTATAAAAGATACTCACCAATGTTTTCTCAATGAACGTCGAAGAACAAGAGGTTATGATGGGAATAGTTATTCTTTGATTATGAGTAGCGGCCTATTTCAACTTGTAATATAAACGCAAAAAACAAACGAACAATGCCTATCATGGTACCTAGTCATATCTTTCGTTTCATATAACTTCAACATAACAATCAGTCGAAAAAAGAATCTAAAATTGCAAATCGTAAGATTGGCATCATTGGAAAGAGCATAAAAGCTGAGTATTTACCTAAACTATGAGCGCGGGGTATAGTGTAGCCTCAAGCAAGAATTTTTCAAATACTCTTTCCAGTCACAGCAATTGTTTTTCTTCTTGTTTGAGAGCATGGTAAATTCCTATTTCCAGGAAATTCAAAATGCGCTACATACTACAATAAAGTAACACGTAGATAAAGAAGTGTATACAAACGATGGTTATCGTTTAGATTTTTATCAAGCCATATCATACATTTTAATATAATGTAAGAGTCATTTATATATTAGTATCAATTCTGTC